AATATACGTATGTGATCCATACATTTCCCCCTTTGGCTTATTAATTACCATAGTTTGACATTTGCGAAATACCATTTTTGAAAAATATGATGCAGTCTTCCAGTAAGGAAGCTTTCTGCCGTGGTGCTTATTTTTGTGCAATAAGGCTGTAGGATGTATCATAAGCAGTCAGGTGCAACACTTCCTGTTTGCCCAGAGTGGACACGCAGGGGGGTGTTACTCCACAGCCAGGATGACTTCCTGTCACACCTGGTCTGGAGCTTCCTCCCTCTGCATGTGACCAGGTAGGTGGGCTGGTCATGTGTCCATCTTCTTCATCTTGATGCCATGCTCTCTTGATACTGATGTATTTTGCTGTCTTCTGGCTCTCAGCCACCAGGACATGGGCTCATTCCCATATGGGATGAACTCAAACCCTCTTCTGTAACTCTAAGCTAAAGCCTGCCTTCAGGATCCAACTGTGAAGTGAATGTGAGTAAACTTCATATTACTTTTAAAAGAAGCTTTTTGTGTCTTTATTCTTTTTAGGAGGGATAAAAGGGGACTTGCCAGGAACTGAACCCAATCTGGACTAAACCAGATTGGATTGTTTAAGTAAAGAGATTCAAATGAATCTACCATCTAGCTTCCTGCTATATATTGAGGAATGTCACTCTGCTGCTGACTCACAAGCATCCGTTAGGAAGGATACTATTAAATCAATATATTCTCTCCTAGTATATTCTACAACATTCCCACAAAATGTATTTTAAGGATGTCTGTCTGTTTGAAGCAACTGAACCTAAAGCAGCAAACCACTGCCTGCTGCCTCCCCTCATCTTGCCAACTCTGTCAGGAATCAGTCTACACCTGTATCCAATCACAGCACATTACCAGCAACTCTGATAATAGCAGCATGGGACTATAGTTTTCTGGCCTCGTGTTGTGCACACTTTGGTGACAGGGACTATGAAGAGCGGTCCTCATCCCCCAGCACTTCAAGTACTTTGCCTCAGCATTCCAGATGCAAGCACTCAACAGCAATGCCCATTTCATGCCTACAGCTGGGGATCAAAGGACTAAAGGTAAAGGACCCCTGACAGTTAAGTCCAGTCACAGACAACTCTGGGGTTGCAGCGCTCATCTTGCTTTACAGGCTGAGGGAGCCGGCATTTGTCCGCAGACAGTTTTTCCAGGTCATGTGGCCAGCATGACTAAGCCGCTTCTGGCACAATGGAACACCGAAACCAGTCTGAGCATATTACACCAATCCTGGTCCAACTGCACTGGCTGCCAATTAGTTTCCGGGCCCAATTCAAAGCGCTGGTTTTAACCTATAAAGCCTTGAATGGCTCAGGACCGCAATTCCTCAAGGACTGCCTCTCTCCACATGAACCTACCTGGACTCTGAGATAAGGCCCTTCGGTTTGGAGGCTGGCAACATGAGAACGGGTCTTTTCTGTGGTGGCTCCCTGTATGTGGAATGCTCTCCCTAGGGAGACTTGCCTGGTGCCTTCATTTGCTACCTTTGCTGACAGGCAAAAACATTCCTCTTCTCTCAGGCCCTCGGCTAATTAAACAATCAATGGCCTGTTAAACTGGGGGGGGGGGGATTGTTTTGTTATTAAGTATTTTTGTGTTTTTATACTGTTGTTGGACAAATTTGCCCCAGGGATCTTCCCCAGAGGGAGTCAATTGCTCTGTGAGGAGTCAGACACTGAGATCAGGCAAAACCAAAGGCTGTATATTCTTGAGACAGCACTGCACCCCAGCTCCTGCTGTAAAGAGGGAGGGCTTGTCCTGTTCACATCAAAGGTACTTTATACCCTATAGTCTGTCCAAATTCCACTCCTACATTCTCCTATTGATTAGGAGACTCTAGTTTACAGACTTCCCAGTCCGCCTATTTCATATTTTCCCCTTAATGGGAGCTGGTGGTGCTGTGGTCTAAACCACTAAGCCTCTTGGGCTTGCCAATCAGAAGGTCGGCGGTTCGAATCCCCACAATGGGGTGAGCTCCTGTTGCTCTGTCCCAGTTCTTGCCAACCTAGAAGTTCAAAAGCACACCAGTGCAAATAGATAAATAGGTACAACTGTGGTATGAAGGTAAATGGCGTTTTTGTGAGCTCTGGCTTCCATCACACTGTTCCGTTCTGCCAGAAGTGCTTTAGTCATGCTGGCCACATGACCCGGAAAGCTGTCTGTGGACAAACGCCGGCTCCTTTGGCCTGAAAAGCAAGATGAGCACTGCAACCCTATAGTCTTTGACTGGACAGAACCATCCAGGGGTCCTTTACCTTTACCTTACCTTATTTTCCCCTTGATATGCACCCCCTCTGTTACATACATCCCATGAACATGCTGATTAAATCTAGCTCCACCAGGGGCTGATTGACTACTATTCATAGCCTATTTAAGCATGTGCAATAGTTTTCTAAGTGTACTTCTCCACTTTCCCTCATGGTTCTGAGTCACCCACAAACCTTCCTAGTACGTTATAAGGCATTATCTTTCGGCTACTCTCAGCGATTTCTTAACTTGACTTATTACTACGAGTTTCCTCTTTCTTTGCAATGCAAGCAGTTACAACAGCAAGCCTGGTCGTTTCTGCTAAGCTTTTCTTACCTGTTTATCCCACAGCAGTAAACTGCCCTGTGATCCTCAGATGGAGGGCACTATATAAATTCAATAAAATAATAATAATAATCTACAGTAGTAACCAGTGCGATTCCAGCTGTTCCTCTACAGCCATGCTAACCTTTGCGCTGCAGTAGATTGCATGAGAACAATGATTGCTCCACTGTCTGCTATGGAACCTTCCAAGTCAAAGGAACCCAGGTGGGGCCTAGAGGTGTGTAACCCTGTCTATATTATTGTTTCAGAACTCACTATATCTCTGCCCCTGATTAACACTTTCACTTTAACAGAACTTCAGTTATGTAACTGTAACTGGGTTAGTCGAAAACAATTCATTCCACGCATGCCTTGCTAATTTATGCTGTGTCTCTGAGAGGAAGGGCATTCGGTATCATCAGATCACAAATCGTGGGCCTTTGCCTGTAGTCTCACGCAGAGAGCTCTGTGGTGGTGGTGGTGGTGATTATTCAATTTATATCCTGTCCTTCATGCCAAAGTAGCCTGGGGTGGCAAACACACCAATAATTAAACACTTTTTAAAAAAAGTTTAAAACGTTTTCTCAGCCAGGGAGGTTGAAGGTCATCTGTCATGGATGCTTTAGCTGAGATTCCTGCATTGCAGGGGGTTGGACTAGATGACCCTTGGGTCCCTTGCAGCTCTATAATTCTATGATCTTAGGGTTGCAGGAAGACTGTCTTTCAACCATAATTAAACAAAAAGAGGCCTCCTCCCAAGACTTATCTGGGTGGATCTGCTGTCAACACTATCCTTTTTCCCCCTTTGGTGTGCTCAGTTAAAGTGATTATTAGACACTCATGTGTAAGTTGCATGAAGGTGTTTTGCATCTGGGTGCAGGGATTCCCAAATGCAGTTACTGTACAGGATTCTTCCCACCTGCATTACAATAGCTCATTTAGGGATCCCCCAGATGACCTGGTTACCGAGCATTCATCCTGATTTTCTTGCACAAAGCTCACGTGAAGGTTAGATTATATCCAGTCTTCATTGAACATTTGTGATGTTTGTGCACTTACACAACCAGAATTCATCCTGGCTTGCATGCAGGGTGTTCATAGTGAGCCTGTATCTGGTGGGTTATCCATTCTATGTGGTGACGTGACAGGATGGAGGCATTTCCCCCTTTGCGTGGACTGTCTGCCCCTACGGAGCTAACATGGTGCTGGTATCAGCATACTTCTGTGAACACTGTGTGCCAAAGGTGCTGCCAGGTGAGGTAACAACTGTCTCTAAAATTTGTTTTGCTTTGATTTTCTTCTCCACATTGATTTTGGGAGGATCCCAACTAAGTTAAAACAAAACAATACCTGTGTGTAAGTGACCACCAGTCGGATTACAGAAACACGCTGTTCAACAAATAAAGGAACAGGTGGGGCTTTTTCTTTGTGAAGGATGATTGAGTCTAACATACCATGAGAAGGTATTCATCAGTGCCAATTGGCAACTGAAACTCAGCTAAGTCTTTTGTTCAGTGTGCCATAACACAAACCCAACTTTGGCTTTAAGTCATATGGTTCAGTTTATGTGGTTTAAACACCCCCTCAAGAAAACTAACCACCTCTGAAATATCTTTGAGGCATCAATTTAGTTCTTCATGGAGCCTATAATCTAGATTATCACAAAGTACATTCTTCTATTATTCAGTCTAATCTCTGAAGGATTCTGCCTCAGTTGTTAAAAAGGTCAAAACAGCATTATAATTAAACGATTACACAATATGTGAAAGCTAGGTTCTGTGAAAAGCATGTTTCACTCCATGTATCACATTTCTTTAACCATATGATTTCCTTTCACTGAACATCATATAATATGTCATGGGTCGGCAAACTAAGGTCCGTGGGCCGGATCAGGCCCAATTGCCTTCTAGATCCGGCCTGTGGACGGTCCAGAAATCGCTGTGTGAATCGCCAGTGCATGGATCTCCAGCGCACATGTTCTCTCCTCTCCCTCTCCCAGCAGCACTTTTCTCCTCAGGGACAGAACAATCTTGTTCCACGCTGGGCGCTGTCGACGACAGGAGTCGGCTTGCCCACCTGCCCGCCTCAGCAGGGCGGCACTGTGAAGGGGGCGTGTGACGCCGGCTGCTGGCTGCATTTTCCTCCTGCTCCTCCTCCCTCTCCCTCAGTCCGCCCTTCCTTCCTTCTCCATGCCCCTTTTCCGCGCCACTTCCTCTTGCGCTTTCTTCGTGCCTGCCTGCCTCCCTCCCTCCTTCATTCCTCCCATGGCGTTTAGGCAGGTTGTTGCGATGGCTGCGGCCGCCGCTTGCAGGTTGGCAGGTGGCTCTGTCTTCTTCTCCGCGGTGCCTCTCAGGAAGCAGCAGCAGCAGGTGGTGGGTAAACTCTCCGGCGATGCCCCTGTTTCCCTGCCTCCGTCCGCGGCTCCTCCGCTGGGACTGCTGCTTCTGTCTTCGCCAGCCAACACAGCCTCCTACCCTGCCATGGGGCCTGGCTAGCTGGAGAAGCCCAACTGTCCAGCCCCCCACAAGATCTGAGGGACAGTGGACCGGCCCCCTGCTGAAAAATTTAGCTGACCCCTGTAATATGTTTTATTATATTTAATCATATTCAAAACCTCAAGGAGAGAGAAAAAAACCAAAATTTTCAAAACTGAGAAAGAACCAATGTTTAGCAATGTGGTATAGCCACATTTAGAATACTGTGTAAAGTTGTAGTCACTACCATAAAAGGGATATCTGAGAGCTAGAAAAGAAAACTACACTAAATTATGAGGGGCAGGCATACGAACTTGAATACTGGGGGGCAGGTAAACCACACCTCGCATAATCAATCACAAGATGCGGCACAGGCACACCGTTTGAATGGCGGCGTTTATCGACTTTGGGGGACCTTTTTCAAGAGGAAATGTTTGAGCATTGGGGGCTCAGTTTAGAATGAGGCAACCTGGACAGGTGGGAGCAGAGACATGGCAGACGGTTAATTTCTGGATAGTACAGAGGAAGGGGACTGATAAGTTTTCTCCCTCTCTTCTAATACTAAAACTCAGGATCATTTGATGAAATTGATTGGCAGTAGATGCAGATGTTCTTCTTCAGATTATAGCACATAGATAAACAAGTAGAATTTGCTAGCACAAGATGTAGAGATTGCAACTAGCTTAGATAGCTATAAAAGGCAATTACAGTGTTACCTTGGTTTATGAACTTAATCCGTTCTGGAAGTCCGTTCTTAAACCAAAGCGTTCTTAAACCAAAGCGTGCTTTCCCATAGCAGCGGGGGACTAAATTTACAAATAGAACACACTCAACAGGAAGCGAAACGTTCTTATTCCAAAGCAAAGTTCACAAACCAAAACTCCTACTTCACGGTTTGCAGCGTTCTTAATCCAAGCTGTTCATAAACTAAGCTGTTCTTAAACCGAGGTACCACTGTATACAAATTCATAGCAGATAAGCCTATTGCAGAGCTATTGCCTATTGCTGAGCTATGTGTCTCTGACTACCAGCTGCTGGGGGTGGGGGGTTGTGGAGGCAAAAGCAAAGAGGGCAATTGCCTTCAGACTCTGCTGATGGGCTTCCCAGAAATATCTAGCTGACCACTCTGGGAATGTTGGACTAGATAAAGCTTTAATCTGATCCAATAGGGCACTTGTTCTATTATTCATTTGTTGTAAGTCACTGTGAGGTTTTATTACAATCAAGCAGTATATAAATTCTTGTAAATAAATAACATTATGACACTGAACAGGTAAAGCTACATTAACAATGGGGAGATGTCAGTTCATGCAAAAAGTGCCTCTATAAGATTTGAGCCTGACGCTTCCTGAGCCGGGCGCTGGAGGCAGCCGTTTCACCCCAGCACCTCATGAGGCTGAATACCTGATATTGCCCAGCCCTAATGTTCAGCAAGGGTTGGGGGAGCAGGGCAGCAAGGGGAGAGTGAAGGGTAAGTGGACAGGGAGCAGAGTTGAATACCACTAGCTCAGACTGGTAGCTGTCAAGAGGCTCACCTCTTCTCTGAAAACTTCGAATGGACTTATTAGGCAGCTCAGTGTCGCAGTTTCAAGAGCTTGTGAGAGTTATACCAGCAGAGTATACTATTGAACCAGTCTCCCAACTATTCTGTACAGTAAACTGTACTTGAGCGCTCATTTTATCTTTAATAAGTATCATCAGTACTGTAAGACTTTAACAGGTTACCGTAAATGTGCTGCAACTTCAGGAAAATAGATAGGAATTTCTCCTAGACAGGTTAACTTGCAAGTCCTCGTTGAAATCAGCATGCACGGTGTTTAGGTCAGGCAACAAATGGACTTGCATCCAACTTCTTCATTTTAAGTGTTTCCAATGTGCCTGTCTACAAGATGGGTATTGGAAAAGAATTACAGAACCACTCTGCATTCAAACCACTGTTTAAATAATGGCTTTCTAGTGCTGCTCAACTTGCTTTAAACACAGGGATGGAGAACCTTTTCCAGCCTTTGCAGGGCAACATTCCAGTCTGTGCAATCTTCTGAGAGCCACATGACAGTGGCTGGCACAGTTAGGCATTATGTGCATTCAAAGACACGTTCCAGCCAGGCAAAAACCTTGGAGGTGCAGAATGGGGCCAGTGAGGAGTATCACCCAGGGAAAGCCCCAAGGGCCAGATATGGAAGCTAGCAGGGCCACATCTGGCCCCTGGGCTGGAAGTTCTCTTACGTCTGCTTTAACAGATTGGCCAACAAGCAACCTCATGAGCTAAGCAGTCTTTTTGCAGCTCCTCTCTAAATCCAGATTTAGCTCCTCTTTAATAACGTGTCCTGAAGTTTACACTTAACCTTCTTCATACTGAATAGTCATATCATCTACAGTGGTACCTCGGGTTAAGAACTTAATTCATTCTGGAGGGCCGTTCTTAACCTGAAACTGTTCTTAACCTGAGGTACCACTTTAGCTAATGGGGCCTCCCACTGCCGCTGCACCGCCGCCACACAATTTCTGTTCTCATCCTGAAGCAAAGTTCTTAACCCAAGGTACTATTTCTGGGTTAGCGGAGTCTGTAACATGAAGCGTCTGTAACCCAAAGTACCACTGTAGTTCAAATACATATAATTATGAGGGGCCTGGGGTTGTTTTTTTCAAAAAAAAAAAAGTGATAGCAGCTTTGCAAGTCAACTACTTTTAGCCACAACAGCAATACATTATAATACTAAATTTAAACGAATTTCACTCAAATGTCAAATTTACACTAGCAAAACTCTTACATAACTTAAGATTTTATAAACCCTGTTTAATGTAACCCCTTCATGGATTTCTTGATTAAGTAGTAATTTTAACCTTTGTATGTTTAAAAGCAGGCTTGTAATTTTTTCTTGATTTTACTGTTCTATCTTTTGCAAACCGCTTTGGGTTTTGTTTTGGTTTTTTACAATCAAGCGGTGTATAAATTTCATGAAATAAATAAATAAAAACCTTGCTAAAGATAAACCTAATTTTGCTTTAACCAATAGGCCTCCAGATAGAATGTTATCAAAAGATGAAACATATTAAATTGTTAAATAATACCATACCACCAGATAGTAAAAACTCTGTTTCCTGCTGGCCCTACTGCAGTTGCCATGTCTGGAGGAATCCCATAGGGCTTATCAGACCCTTATGTTCCCCTGCCTGCTTCTTCCTTGGCACAAGTGCAGACAGCTTGCCAGGCCATCACAGGAAATGCACCTCTCAATCAAGGAACGTGAACTGGGAGGGCTGGAGAAGCACACACCTGTTTCGCATTCTCTAGGATACCGCCTAGGATACGGAGTGCCCATGCACACATGCTCCAAGGGAAAATGGAAACAAAGCTCTACTGTGGTCTACAAGACACCTCTGCACAAGATTGTAGCACAAAAAGCAGAACATGTTTTGTCACATGGTTAATAATAATAATAATAATAATAATAATTTATTATTTATACCCTGCCCATTTGGCTGGGGTTCCCCAGCCACTCTGGGCAGCTTCCAACAAAGTAATCCATCAATCATCAATCCATCCATCAGTAATCCATCAAACATTAAAAGCTTCCCTAAACAGGGCTGCCTTCAGGTGTCTTCTAAAAGTCTGGTAGTTGTTTTTCTTTGACATCTGGTGAGAGGGCGTTCCACAGGGCGGGTGGTTAAATATATTATAGTTTTGATTTATTTATGTGCTTATATAATATTTAAAAATTCAAACAACTAATCATTCAGCAATTTGAAGATTTACTATTTTCATTGCTCTCAAAGGTATCATGAACATAATTATTTTTTTAAAGGGCGAAATGTGTCCCTATTATTAACTTCTTAAACATAATCAATTATGATTTCCTGTGATACACTTTAATATAGGTTAAGTCAATAGCTATGCCAGAACAATAGCAAAACTGTTCTGTTAGCATTTCATTGAGTCATATCCCGAGTTTAAGATCATAGTTCAAAGTAAAAGTGTCCCTATTAAACACAAAACAAGTTTAACAATAGAAGTTTTAAACACAAGTTGCTTGAGATCGGCTTGCAGGTCTTCATCCCAGGATCCCAGTATATCCAAGTACGTATGCTGGAAGGTCCACCATTTACTTTTCTAAAATATGGTAGTGTACAGTGAAAAATAGAAATTTATACATTTAAACCAAGCTGTATCTTTATACTTAACAAGTATCTCACGTTCATTGTAAAACTAATTAATTTTATAACTCTGCAGAGTCTAGAAATCTAAAATTTAAGAAAAATGAAATAAGCACAAAAACACTCAGTAGTCCTAAAAAGACAATTAAAGCTCTTTATAATACAAAAGCTATTACTACTTATGACGGGCCAACTTAGACAGGGGGTGGTATGCAATATTAGACATACTCACAAGGGGAACCATCAAAATCAATGGACAGGTAACTTAAGTCCATTGATTTTAATAGGCTTACTCAAGAGTGTGAGTTGGATATCATCCAATGTTCCACCCCGCCTTGCAAAAAACAGCACCTTTCTGTTTTGTCTTTTTCCATCAAGGTTGACTGTATTTTATACAAGGTTTACTGGCAAACCTTCTGTCAGTTTTACTAGTAAACATCTAGCAACCCATACTGAACACAACCCCTTTCCCCATTTAGAAGACCAAGGTAACACAGAACATTTAAAATAGGGATGAGGAACCTGTGTCCTTCCGGGTGTTGTTGGACTAACCACTGGTCCTGATGGCTGGGGATGGTGAAAGCTGGAGTCCAACAACATCTGCAGGGTCACATGTTTCCCATGCCTTAACTGAAACACAGAAACACATTATTACAACAACCACTATATAAAAGAAAGACATATTTTTAATTAAAAAAACTATAATAAAAGTTTTGATAATCAAGTTATTCAAATATATCACCCAGTACGGCTGTCTCATAACTGCAGAGCCATTGCCACAAACCGGCTGTAGCTCAGTGGCAGAACACATAACTTGCATACAAAAGGTCCTAAATTAAATCCTTGGATCTCTAGGCAGAGCTGGAATAATTTCTTAAATGCTCGGGTTGATTTTTATGTCATCCCATCTCACAGTCTAGTCCTGCAGGCAATCAAATCTTCTCACATTCAGCTACAACTTCAGAGTCCTTGTTAGGAATGAAAATACTTCAGAAAGCAAATACAGTGGAACCTCAGTTTTCAAACATAATCCGTTCCAGAAGTCCATTCAACTTCCAAAACGTTCAAAAACCAAGAATCAAAGGGCTGTTGGCAAAGTGAGTGGAGAAAAATGAGAAACGCGCATCGGAAGCCATTCAACTTCCGAGGTGCATTCGAAAACCGAAGCATTCACTTCTGGGTTTTTGGCGTTCGGCTTCCGAAACGTTCACAGCCAAGATGTTCGAAAATCAAGGTTCCACTGTACATCACATAACTCAAAAGAGGCATGCTTAGATATGTGTATCATTACAATGCCTTACCATAAAAGATTTAGCCCAGGAGCGACACAAGCATCACAATACCCATGAACTGGACAAAGAGCACCACAGGTGTGAGGAAAGACCATATGGGCCATAAAGAAATGTTAAAACTGGGAAAAGAAAGAGAGAGAAACATGTTGCATATGTTGCAAGCAGTATATCATATTACAGTACAGGCAATTTGAGAACCAGCCAAATCCCAAAGTGAGACAAGTTTCACAGTATATTTGAACTGAGATACCATGAGAACATTCCTTTACACATAGTTTCCAGAAGAAGAGGTGTACAATGTGCAGAAGATATCCACATATATTTGAAACTTATGTCTCGGTGTCCAGAGTCTTCAAGGCAAAGTTTTGTTATGGCACGTAGGACCCTGGCACCCCCAGGAGTGGACTGGCCACCTCCCCCATGGCTTGGGCAGGGAGAGCCCATCTACCTGCTTCCATGCGCAGAAGTAGACCATTGTTTCCTACATAATTGAAGCAATTCTCAGCCAGCCACACAAGACAGACAGGCAGCCATTGCATATTTTCAGAAGAACAAATATGTGTGTGGTCTGCTATTACTCCTATCTGGGGTCCATATGTAACACCTTTCCCTCATCATTTAACACACAGACTTTTTAGAAGCAATGCAAGCCTGGAAAACTAGTATCTCTTACCCACCAACTTACCAAACTGCTGCCGCAATAAAACTAGCTGTTGTTATAGGTATCAGCACAGGGTAGGTGGCATCATAGTCCTCGATTCCATGATACCACTCAAGATATATTATGCAATAAAAGGCCACAGACAAACTGATAATCAATAAGCAAATGCCGAGTATAAACCACCAGCTGCAAGAGAAAGAGAAAATGTGCTTTAATAATGTTAAAAACAAAAATACATTGAATTTAACATTGCCTCAGATCAGATTGTGCTCCAAGCCAGGCCTCTCTTAAGATGCAGGAAGCAACATACCTTATCTGCCTTCTGCTACTGCATCCAAATTTTGCAGTACTCCAACTTCTAACTGGCTCCCTATTGAGAAGAGGTCCTCACTTTCTGTATGTGGAATTCTTAGACACGGGGCTTCTTTAATCAACAAAGTTGGCAGGCAGCACTGATTGTTCAGTCATTGTACGACAGGAGAGAAAGCAGAACAGGAGATGGGAAGGAAGGCTAGCTAGGGAATGGAAATTCTTAATAGGTTATCCGACTACTTTTTGCTAAGACACACGTGTCTGCTCATGCAGAACTAAAAGCAATGCTGGGATTTATCCTGACAGAGTGTAGGGGAGCCCTAAACAAAAAATGTCAAATTTCAATCACAAACCCTTTGAAGTAAGCAAAGGGTGCCAGATGCGGAGAAGCTCTCCTAAAATATAAACTCCACTCGTATTAGATGTTAGGACACATTTCTACATAAAACAGTGCTGGTTTCAGATGGGTGTCTTACTGTATAAATAGAAAGGTATATGGGATGGGGGTTGAAGCATAGAGGGTATCTGATCTGAGAAAGCTGCACCAAAATTACTCCATATTTCTTTTATCAGATCAGAATAGAAGAAGACAATGAGGAACTGCCATTTTCACTCACTGCTGTTCTTAGCAACGAGGATGGATCTCTCCTCCCCCTCACACAGATGTTTCAAGTATTTTAAATTATATTTCTTACTGTTATGTTATACTGATTAATCTACAATAAAGTTTAGGGAGAATCCAACTGACTTTGTACTGTAAATACCTTTGTGTAACTTCTACTTGTAAACCCTCCACCAAAAAAACCCACCACCTCTTCTCCTTACCTTTCTTGCTGAATAATCTCTTTAACAACTTTAAAAAATTCAATGTAGTATGTAGTAGCTATTGATGCCAATATCCAGAATGCAGAGTGAATGTTAAGTCTGGGAAGCGGCTTCTCCTTCTTCTCTACGCTGGTAGTTTCAACTGTAAATAAAACCGCCATTATTTTGCATACGTCATTAAACGAGACACCACCTTACAGAAGTAAAACATGCACACCAGGTTTCTAAATCATTCTTTGTTGCAGTGCAAATGCCTATCAACTCATCCCAGTGGGCCTTGAAATCTACATGACTTCTCAATGCTCTGCTCATCTTAATCATAGGCATTTGGCAGCAGGGTGGTCTATTTATTCTGGTGCAGGCAAAGCAGGGTGTGCACTCAGTGGAATAATCTACATGGCTTGGGGACAAAAGTGGTAGTGGGTACCTCTGAGTCATGTGGCAGAGGGACCTACCTGTGGAAAGGAAGGCGCAAAAAGGTGGGGGTTGAGTAACTCCTTCCTCCTTTCCCACACCCTTGCAGCCATTAGTTTATCACAAGTTCCCACTTGTCATAACATATTGTTGACAATATACTTTGCTGGCGGCCTGAAATACAGCAGAAACTATTATATGACAAGAGGTTAAGCCAATATATTGCTACATATTTTCAGTGTAATAAATCAATCCATAAGTACCTGGATGGCTTTGAACGTTCAGTAACCTCTAAGGTCTAAGGGGTTAACTGTAGTTTGGGGTACTCCTGGATCCAACAGGAGGCTCAGGAGGCTTTTGTGGCTAGGAATACTGTCCTAGCTTTAACTGGTCCAAAATGAAACGGCCGGATTGCTGGCTAGGGGTTCCGTTTAGAACTCATATAACACCTCTTTTAAAACAGCTGCATTAGTTGCCTGTAAGTTTCCAGGCTCAATTCAAGGGATTTAGTTTTAAATCCCTAAGTGACTTTGGTCACAGATACCTGAAAAAAACACCTCCTTCCCTACAAGACCCCCTTAGGCGTTAAGAGAAGCAGAGTGGGCACTCTTGATAGTTCCACTGCCCTCAGAAGTATGGGGTAGTGGCCTGGGAGAGGACATTCTCTGGGCGGCCCCTAAGTTGTGGAATTCCCTCCCCACAGCTGGCATCTTCATTACACAGTATGCTGAAGGCACAGACCTGTCCTCTGGCCTTGGACAGTTGACAGGACTGACCCAAGACATTTTGGCAACTGAGGAAGACCCCCTGACTCCCTGTCAGGGAAGAAGGGAGGAGTGAAGATCTACATCATGGGTGGGCCAGCCCTGATGCTTGAGATATGTATTTTAAGACCCACCCTATTCTTTTGACTTAACCTCTTGCCGTATTTTTTAATGGCTGACCCGCCCTATGCTATGATGAAGGGTGAGTAATATATCAGAAAAAGGACAAAAGACCTTCACTTCCAGAGCTGGGCCCAGGCATGTGACCTCCTTTACCGGATCAGGGAACCCCTTCAGGAGGGGCTGCCTCCCGGCAGTCTCCAACACTTCCACTCAGCACGACTCCTTGCCATGGTGAGTCATCCATTGCCCTTTACCAATGATAGCTAGCCAAACCTCACTTTTCATCTTCTGTTTGGGCTGGGAGATAAAAGCAAAGGTATCCCTCGTGAACACACTGAGCTAGGAAGCTACGGAGGGTGATCGTCGCCCAGGGAACAGGAGGTAAAACTGAAGCTCTTGGCATAGCGAGCAGCAGAAGTGACCTGAGAAGCATCTCCTCTGCCCAGCACAGAAGCAAGTCCTCTGAAAGGGACGCTGAAACAGGGTGGTAGGTGGCAAGGGCATTTCAAGCAGGAGCGCCAGCCACAGCTGGGTTTGCCAAACAATCCTAGCTTCCCTCTTTGGCTCTGATGACAATGGCCGGTGCTGGGTGGCAGAGTGCTGGTCCTCCAAGACGTACCCTCGGTGCACCCGCGGACCAACACCTTGGCTGCCTCTGAGTGGTGGGTGGCAGCAGCGCTGCAAGGGCCGCAGCCACTGACCACCACACAAACAAGCCCCTTAGCCTTCCTCACCCCCCTGGAGCCAGAAATGACGGCAGGGTATGCCAAGTGAGGCTAAAACCCCTCTTCCAAGACCAGCTTGGAAGGTCCTCAAAGCTGCGCTGGGATTCCAAGGGCCTCAATGCATTTCATGCGCAGGTCCTGTTCCATGGCCTTAAAGGTAAAAGGAGCCCTGACCATTAGGTCCAGCTGTGGCCAACTCTGGGGTTGCGGTATCTCACTTTATTGGCCAAGGGAGCCGGCGTACAGCTTCCGGGTCATGTGGCCAGCAGGACTCTGGCGAACCAGAGCAGCACACAGAAACGCGGTTTACCTTCCCGCCGGAGCGGTACCTATTTATCTAGAATCATAGAATCATAGAATCATAGAGTTGGAAGAGACCACAAGGGCCATCGAGTCCAACCCCCTGCCAAGCAGGAAACACCATCAGAGCACTCCTGACATATGGTTGTCAAGCCTCTGCTTAAAGACCTCCAAAGAAGGAGACTCCACCACACTCCATGGCAGCAAATTCCACTGTCGAACAGCTCTTACTGTCAGGAAGTTCTTCCTAATGTTTAGGTGGAATCTTCTTTCTTGTAGTTTGGATCCATTGCTCCGTGTCCGCTTCTCTGGAGCAGCAGAAAACAACCTTTCTCCCTCCTCTATATCTATTGCACTTTGAGTGCTTTTGAACTGCTAGGTTGGCAGGATCTGGGACCGAGCAACGGGAGCTCACCCCGTGGCGGGGATTCGGACCGCCGACCTTCCGATTGGCAAGCCCTAGGCTCTAGGTTTAACCCACAGTGCCCCCCGCGTCCCTTTCCATGGCCTTAAATGCACACTTAAATGCATCTACTTGACCTCCCCCAAAGCCCTCTATGGCTTGGGTCCAAGGGGCCTGAAATACTGCCTGCCCTGCCAGGCCTGTTGAGATCTCCGTCCCGCCCCCCTTGGTGGGGAAAAGGGAGAGGGACTCCTGGGGGGGGGGAGGCTCCCTCCCGGGCAACTTTGCCTGGAGAAGCTGGACGGCTCCCTCCTCGGCCGCCTTCTTATCCCAACAAGTTTTGGGGAAGTGGCTGCTTTTATCAAGAGTCGCTTGTGCCCTGCCATTTTTATTATTGCAGTTATTTGTATGGTTTTCACAGCACACCCACATATGTAGTTTTGATTCTATCGGCGTGCAACTTGTTTGTTTGTTTGTTTTGCAGTGATAGCTACTTCCCCACCCCCGAGGTTTTTAGCTGTTCCTAGTTTTATCCCGGGTTCCTGTCAGGGAAAATGGCGGGGTATGAATTATAAATGCACAGGAATAATTTCAGGTGCTCGGCTCGCGCCCAGGCGCATTTACCCCGGAGCAAGCGCCGCGGCGCAAAGCGAGATTTACTTCCGAGTAGGCGCGCGTGGGGCGGGGGGGGAGAGCCCCGCGCCCAGGATTCACCCCGCGCTTTATTTTGCTCCACTTCCCGGCTTATCAAGGCCGGCTCCTCCCGGGCGGCCTTCCTTCCTTCCTTCCCTCCTAAGGGGGAGACCTACCGGCCTCGCCCGGGCCCGGCGGCGGCTGCTGCTGCTGCTGCTGCTGCTGCCCCGCGAGATGCCGCCTCAGCCTCAGCCGCGGATCGCGCTCCTCCTCCGGCAGCTCCTCCATCTTGGGGGCCGCGGAAGTGACCCGGGCCGAGCAGGAAGGGAGGCTGGATGGCGGCGGCGGCGGCTGCTTTGCCCGGGATCCGCCCGCTCCCCGCCTTCCCTCCGGCCGGGCGAGAGAGATTCCCTGGGGAAGCCGGGGCCCCGCAGCCGCGGGAAATCGGGTCCTCCGCGCCCGCCCTCAGAAAACCAAAAAAGATCCCCGCCAAGATTCCCCTCAGAGCGGCTCGCGCGAAGGGGGAAAGCGAAAAATCCCCCTCGCCGCTTCGGGACGCGCGAAAGTTAAAAGGCTGAAACGGATCGAGGCTTTCTAAGAATACAATCTTTCTAGGCTAAAGCTGCTGCTTCGTGGTATTTTCTATCCTGCAGTTCGAGGCAGCTTTTTTTATATATAATTTATATAAAATTTTCTGCCTTACAATTTAAAATACTCATTTTACGTTCTTAAGATATCAATGACTTCCCTTCTTCTCTTTCCATTGTTCATTTTACATATCATAAATCCCTGCATATTTTACAAAAACTATACCATCCGGTATTCCATTATTGCATCCATCAAAATTATTTACACAGTTGAATTTATCTTAATGCTGCCAGCGTTTTCAGCTGTACACAACTATTTCCCATATACTGTATTCAATAGATGTTTTCCAATCTTCTTTAAACGTACATTCCTCTTGTTCTCTCATAATAATAATAATAATACAGTAATTTATTATTTGTACCCCGCCCATCTGGCTGGGTTTCCCCAGCCACTCTGGGCGGCTTCCAACAAAGATTAAAAATACATTGAAATGTCACACATTAAAAACTTCCCTGAACAGGGCTGCCTTCAGATGTCTTCTAAATGTCAGGTAGTTGCTTTTCTCTTTGACATCTGGTGGGAGGGCGTTCCACAGGGCAGGCGCCACCACCGAGAAGACCCTCTGTCTGGTTCCCTGTAACTTGGCTTCTTGCAGGGAGGGAACCACCAGAAGGCCCTCGGAGCTGGATATCAGTGTCCAGGCAGAACAATGGGGGTGGAGATGCTTCTTCGGGTATACTGGGCCGAGGCCGTTTAGGGTTTTAAAGGTCATATCTGGTGACTGGGAGCCAATGTAGATCTTTCAAGACCGATGTTATATGGTCTCTGTGGTCGCTGCCAGTCACCAGTCTAGCTGCCGCATTTTGGATTAGTTGTAGTTTCCGGGTCACCTTCAAAGGTAGCCCCACGTAGAGCGCATTGCAGTAGTCCAAGTGGGAGATAACCAGAGCATGCACCACTCTGGGGAGGCAGTCTGTGGGCAGGTAGGGTCTCAGCCTGCACACCAGATGGAGCTGATAAACAGCTGCCCTGGACACAGAATTGACCTGTGCCTCCGTGGACAGCTGTGAGTCTAAAATGACTCCCAGGCTGCGCACCTAGTCCTTCAGGGTCACAGTTACCTCATTCAGGACCAGGGACACCTGTCCCCCAAGAACAGTACTTCTGTCTTGTCAGGATTCAACCTCAATCCATTAGCCGCCATCCATCCTCCAACCGCCTCCAGGCACTCACACAGGATCTTCACTGGTTCTGATTTGAAAGAGAGGTAGAGCTGGGTATCATCCACATATTGATGGACACCCAGCCCAAACCCCCTGATGATCTCTCCCAGCGGCTGCATGTAGATATTGAAAAGCATGGGGGAGAGCACAGAATCCTGAGGCACCCCACAAGTGAGAGCCCAGGGGTCTGAACATTCATCCCCCACCACCACTTTCTGGACACGGCCCAGGAGGAAGGAGCGGAACCACTTATTCTATATGTTAAGTCTGCAAGTTGTGCATATTCTGTCAACTTAAATTGCCATTCTTCTTTGGTTGGGACCTCGCACGTTTTCCCTTTTTTGGGCTAACAAAACGTGGGCCACTGTAGTAACATAAATAAATAACCTTTTTTGACACCCTGGGAATTTCAATCTGAATTATCCCCAACAGGAAGGACTCTGATTTTGGGGGGGAATGTACTTTTAAACATTTTTTTCAATTCATTATGGATCATTTCCCAATACTCTTTTACCCTTTTTACAAGTCCACCACATATGAAAGAACATTCCCGTCAGCTCTTTGGAGAGACAGCATTTTATCACTGCGCCAACCCTGCGAGGTAGGCTAGGTTGCGGGGAGAGCGACAGGTCTGAGATTGCAGGGAGCTCAGTGGGTGAGCGGGGATTTGAACTTGGGTCTCTCTGGGCCCAGCCTGACACTGACCACTATGTTACACTTTGCAAAGCACTTATTTAAAAAAAAAAAAAAAGATATTTCCGCCAGGAAGTAACGGATTTATTGGGGCCTCGGTTTGCGTGGACTGGGCCCTGGGGCGCCCTCGGATCTCTGCCGCAGTCACTTGAATTTTGATTTCCCAGTGCTGGGGAAAGAGAGTTTGTTATCGCCAACTTTTGAAGCTTTTGGCAATTGGTCAGTTTTGCCTCGGTCAGTCTTGTATGCCTTAGGTCCAAGTCCAGTACAACTCCTGAGTGATTGACATACACAAACTGGATACTGGCAGTTGCTTTGTACACATGTGTGGATACTGGTCTGTAATGGGCGATGAAGATCGGGGGGTGGGGCACTGCTTCCTGTCATCTCAGAACATATTCAATAAACAGGCCAACTGACTGAAAATGATGTTTTAGATTTAACCCCTCTAAGTTGCCTGTTATGCTCTGCTGCTTTTTCTCCAACCTCTAGCCATCCCTTGAAGGTGAGAAAGTGAGATCTCCAACTGCTGGGCCAGTTCTAACCTAGCAGCTGTTACTAGGTGGATAATTAGTTCCCTACAGAACACATTTGGGGCACAAATTCTTAGGGAAATTGAAATCATTGGCCACTTACTGTCCTAGATCCCAAACTATGTCTTCTCTCAATCTCTTCAGGAAGAAATGCTGACTTTGCTTTAAAACCTGGGGGGGGGGGTGGGAATGCTGCCACCACCAACACTCTTATCTTCTTAAATAACCTTTCTCTTATTTTCAGAGTTCACCTGTCCATAGAATATAGATTTCAGAAACTGCTTGCTTTATTTTATTTTTAAAATTTTGATGCAGCTGTGCATGTAGTTCATCTTGTCTTACCGTGACTAAGAAACAGAAATAACACTTAGCATATAGCATTTCAGAGTGCTGAAAGTACTTCACACATGCTATGCTGTTCTGCCTGTAGTTACCTTTAATCCTGCCATTGCTTGAAGGGATTTGGGTCATTATACTGTATATGGCAGGCTTCCTCAACCTCGGCCCTCCAGATGTTTTTGGCCTACAACTCCCATGATCCCTAGCTAGCAGGACCAGTGGTCAGAGATGATGGGAATTGTAGTCTCAAAACATCTGGAGGGCTGAGGTTGAGAAAGCCTGGTATATGGTATCCTGTTTTATTCTCACAACCACCCTGCGAAGGAAGGAGGCTGAGAAAGTGACTAGTCAAAGGTTAGTGAGCTTTGTGGCTGAGCAGGGATTTCAGGTCCAACACACTAGTTGCTACACCACTCTTGACTCTCTAATCCTTTAATCTGCAGGTTTTCAACCTTTTTGAGTCCGCAGCTGCTTTGATCAGCTACATTCTTTATGTGGCTACTCTGAGCCTCAGGAACCCAGTTATGTCACCCCTTGTCTGCAGAGCCGGCAGTCCCTCACCTGTTTGCAAACGCCCTCCATTGTGGAGTGTTCCCTCAGCCTCCTTTCCTCTTCCCTCTCCTTGGGAGTCCTCTGGGCAGCAGCTGCCATTGCCCCTGGTCTCTGAGCTACTTTCCCACCCCAAAGAGAGGTGCCTCCTCACGCCGCCCCACAGGGGCCTGGGAAGAGGATGCCCCCAGCCTTAGTGGTCCAACGGAGACTGCCCAGAGGTGAACGTGAAGCCAGCACCTTGCTCACCTTGGAAGGCAGCAGTGAGTGCCACCAGGCCAGCATGGCAGAAAGTCTCCTCTTCAGCACAGAGGAGGGAGGGAAGGAAAGAGGGACAGAGGCCAGAGTTGCCTGCAGCACCCCTGACCATCATTCAAGGCACCCCAGGGTGCCACGGCATACTGGTTGAAAACCACTGCTTTAATCTATAGTCAATGTAATTTTTCTCCTCAAGGCAAGACAATGGGAAAGCATTATAAAAGGCCAGAAATAGACATTTGTGACTTGGACTACAGACAGACTGTGTTGGGTAGAACTGGGGATCACAAAGCCGTTATAAGTCACTGAACTTCTAAAAGAAAGGCAAAGGCAACAGCACATTTCAAGGGAAAGCTACATTTTCATAGGGTTTCCCATCCTTTACAACAAATGTGGAATAAAACTAAAAATGAACAAAACAATAATATAGAAAACCGCTGAAGATTTGTATTTATTGTTGTTGTTGTTGTTGTTGTTGTTGTTATTAAAAGATCTCATTTCTTTTGATTTATTTCAGCATTTCTATCCTGCTTTCTAAGAAATAGCCAATGCAAATTGGTAACCAGAACAAATGCATGCTTTGATCTTCCTGTTCAAACATCCCAACATCAGCATGTTGGACCAACTGAGTTTCCAAACTCTCTCCAAAAGCATAGAATCATAGAGTTGGAAGAGACCACAAGGGCCATCGAGTCCAACCCCCTGCCAAGCAGCCCAAGTCCATTCAGTAATCTAATCTGGTGCTGACCAGGGCATGAATGATTGCGGCCAGGAACGATTTATCAAGGTACTCATTCACCAACCAAAGTGGCAAAAGATTCTGACCATCCAGGAGCAAGGCTGAATCCTGAAGAACCCCCAAACTGCGAACTTGCTTCTTTAAGGTCCTGTGTAGATACACAAATTCCTAGGTTGCCAGGACCCTGACCTGGCAATGCTTCCAATTTACCTGGATTAAGCTTCAGTTTTCTCTCTCATCCACTCCAAAACTCTTACGGCATCCCTGTGATCAAAATAAAGAAACAAGAAACAGAGGGTTATCCACACTTCCTTTTGTACCGTGTTTATACTATTATAAACTCATATTATTTACTATTCATGGAGCCTCCTCAATCAGAAATAGAAGCTTGTTACTCAATCGAACTTGATCACAGAAGACCCTCTAGAAACAAGATTAGGACACTCTAAACCAACTCTATGTGAATTGACTGGGAAGACGGGTGGTGCCCTTTCCAAATGATAGAAACAACTTGCATGCCACCCCTGATTAAGAGCTCTGTAGTGACGATTATTACATTGCTCTAGCATCTGTACATTTTGATGCAGAAGCAACGTCAAGAGTTCAGTAGGTGCCAAGGAGTCAAATTTTAGATGGGATCGGAAGTGGTGCCAAGTCCAAGGCAGGCAAGCGTGAACTTCTAAGCACAGCAAACACACAAAGAGACAGAAATGGACAGTTTAATCCAAGGCATGCCGGAAATCAGGTTC